TTGCCGCGGTTGTGGCGAGCGCGGGTCGCTCTCCGCAGGCCAAACAAAGAGGCCCGACCTTCCTTGATATTGATGTGCTCCTTGGTCCACTTCCAGCGCCCGACCCGCAGATGGGTCCAGCGGCGCGGCGTGTCCCAGCACTGGTCGACTGGCGGAATGGCACTCGGCACCTCGACCTCCTCATGGCGCGGCCGGGGGCGAGGCTCACGAGCCCGTCGCCCGACTCGGCCGGCCTTGTCGGCCAGGCGATGGTGGCGCTCCTCGTCCAGGAGGCGCCCATGCTGCGTCCGCGGGCCGATGGCACAGGGTCGAGACCCTCGCACGGCAACGTCAGCGTAGGCACCCACGGGTAGATCAGCTCCACCTCCAGGCCGCAAGCGACCTCCAACGTACTCGGCCCACTCGGGCCTGACCAGGGCGACCTCAGAGAGGGTCTCCACCAGCTTGAACCTCCATCTCTCGCGGTAGCGGGTGAGGTCCCGCAGCTCAGCCTCCGTCGCTCTGGTGGAGAGCAGCGCGAAGCCGATATCCGACGAGTCCGAGCAGTAGACCTCGCGGCTGAAGTCCGCGCCCAGGTCATACTCGCAGAGGAACAACAGGCCCTGGACCAGACGCATCTCGTTCTTGACGGCGTCAGTGAGGCGAACTCGTCGCCCCCGCGCGTTAGTCACGAACGGGTAGATCTGCTGGGAGCAGGACAGCCCAGGACGCAGCAGGCCGAACAGGTTGACCACGCGGCCCATCCAGATCTCCAGGATGTTCCCGTGGACCCAGCGGCGCCGCCGCAAGGCCCGCGTGGCCAAGTAGACGCGCCACGCGCGGCGAGGTAGATGCCGCAAACAGCGCTGCCGGCCATCGAAGACGACCCCGAGGCTCTCGAAGACCACCCCGACGTCGCCGTCGACGTGCGCGCCGATGCCGGCCTCCGCCGCCGCGCGCCTGAACCGCTCGATCGAGTCCTCGGCGTCGACCTTGCCACCGGCGATAGTCGTGAAGTTGTCCACGGCCGGGGCAGGCGCGCGCTCGCGCACGAGCGACCGCGGGCAGACCGCGCTCTTGCTGGCCAAGAAAGTGACGGCCTCGTTGGCCAGGTGCAGCGCCCAGGACCACCCCATCGCCATGCCGTGGAAGACGGGGTAGAGGGTGACGGTCGAGTCGATGGGGGCGCGGCGCCCGACGTCGTCGTCGTAGACGCTGGAGACACCCCACTCGCCCGCGCGGTCCTAGGCATGTCGATCCCGAACCACGACCCCAGCTCCTCGACCAGCATCTGGTAGAAGCAGTGGTCGACGTCGCTGGCCCCGCCCCAGACCTCGGCCACGGGCCCGAAGCCGCCGAGGTCACGAAGGGCGGAGTCCGACAGGTCGAGCACGCAGGACCCGCCGACGGACCCCAGCTTCGTCTTGGGCGGCGCGCGATGGCAGCGGTTGGCCTGCCTCGCATCGATGATGAGTATGATCCAAGCGGGGTCCTTTTTCTTGACGAAGAAGATCCCGATCTTGGCTTTGAGCTTACGGCGGAAGCTGATGAGGTTCGCCTGTCGAAGCCGATCGATGAGAAGAAGAAGCCCACCCTGATCTCGAGCAAGCGTAGGATCCCAGTACGGCCGCGGGAAGTCCCGCGCGGCCTGCAACTCCAGTATCTGCTCCGAGCCCCTCTCGATGCAGTGGGCGTAGTGTCGGATGAGGCCGGCCGCGTCGGGCGGCAGGAGCGACTTTGCGTCCTTGGCCACGGTGCCCGAGTGGCAGATCTTGAGCTTGTCGATGTCGTACTCGGCGAGATTCTTCGGCTCCTGCGAGTACAGGTCCCTGGACGCCGTGAGCTCCGCGAGGGCTCGACTCTCGTCCAGGTCTCGAAGGGGGGGGCCCATGCGCCTTGACGCGCCGTGCTACGTGCTGAAGGACATCGCATTGTAAGGGCGTGGCTCCCTCCCCTCCGTATCTCCTCGTACTTGAGACGCTCGAGAAAGACGTAGTTGCGGCGGCGAGCTGGTTAAGAGATCTAACCACTTCACACTCTCGCCGATGCCGATGCCGCTGTTCAATCCGTCGCTGTCGAACGTATCGAGGGGCGCCGGGAGAAGCGGGCTGAGAATAGGAAGGCGCTGGGAGAGGGAAGAGCTCCCCGTGGCGCCGCTGTGCTCGGAGTCGCCGTCGGACGGCAGCACCTCCGCGGTCAAAACTGGCGGCGGGGTCGGCCATGGAACACGACCGACCCAGCCTGAAGGGGGCCGACCACTGTGGTCAACCCCCCGCTCCGCCTGACTTGTCGCCCTTGCCGTCGCCCCCCTGCTTGGGGCCTTTCGGCTTCCTCGGGCCTCTCGAATCATCGCCATCACCTTTGCCACCGCGAGAACGCTTCTCCTCCTGGGTGCGCTCCTCGCGCAAGAGCCGGGCCTGCTTGAGCGTCTGGGCGCGCTCGCCCTGCTTCTTGTAGACCCAGTCGCGGAAGGACTTGCTGGAGGCAGCGCCGCTCTCGGTCGTCGGGCCGCCGAGCACCAGGTCCGGGCCTCCGTAGTCAGGGTGCTTCGCGTTCCGCTCCACAGCCACCTCGATCTGGACCTGGCGCCGAACCAACTGCTCGAAACACGCCACGTTCGGGATGTTGAGCTGGTCCACCTGGTGGGCCAGCCTGAGCACCTCCGCGTTATTCCTGTGCTCGTGAAGGGCCGCCGTGCCGTCGCCGACACCACTGTCCTGCCTCCACTCGCTCTCGTAGACGACCATCGAGCCTGGCCCGTCACGGATCGACTCGAGGTACTCCAGCGTCGCGCGTGGAGGCGGGAACGGCCAGTCCTCGAAACTGTCCTCTGTGAAGAGCTGCACCGCGTCGTGCAGCGTGAGGTTCCGCTTCCCGTGCTTGCGGTGGATGCCGAGGATCCTGGAGTCGCCCTCCGACTCCTCACGCCTCTGCCTCCACTCGTCGGCCATGTCGGCCGCGACTCGCTCCACGAACCGCTTCTCACCCAGCCAGTCGACAACGCCCAGCGTACCCAGAGAGACGAACCTCTGGTCATCCTCCAGCACCTCGGCGGGGACCTCTTTGCCAAAATGGTCGCTCCCCGCCTCATGCACCAGCCACTTGACCTCCTCGGCATCCCCAAACTCCACGTCGCCAAGGATGGCGGCCTGCACTCGAGCCTGGCGCTTGAGCTCGTCGAGCTGCGCCCGGCCGACTCCGTCGTCGTCAAAGGCATAGCAGCGGGCCGCGATATCGGGCGGGAGCGGCTCTCTCCGCCCGATGATGCGGTGCCGCTGCACATTGAGATCATGGATATGCATGCCCAGGTCGGGCGTGAGGCACACCCATCGGCCTCCAGCAACACGATACAAGAAAACACGATGATGCCACACCAGGCCATTCTCGTCATCGGGGTAGGGGACGAGAACCTGGGTCTCTTTGACGTCAAGCGATGGCATTCCGGCGTGAAGCCGGCGTGACGGGCCCCGAGCTGTCTGTCAGGACCGTGATCACGGGCGCCACCGGCGGAGACGGTGCAGGCGTCGCAGGAGTCGGACGTCGAGGCCGCACTAGCGACACACCACTGCCAACGGCGAGCCCAACCAGCAGCCCGGCAGCGCCAGACACCAGGGTCACGAACGCGCCGACGAGAATGAGGTTCCTGACAGGCTCGGGGGCCGGGCAGTTGCACTCGCAATGTGCCGCTGGACAGGTCGGCCCGGTGCTCGTCGCACACGACAAGCTCCGGCAGGATGGACAGGCAGGGCAGGTTGCAGCCAGAGAGGCGGTCCCCACGTGGAGACCAAGCGTGGTCAGATCCCGCGCGGCCGCGAGCAGAGTGGGGATCGGCTCGGCCAGCCAGGTCATAAGAGCTTGAGCGCAAGTATTAGCAACGGAACGTGCACGCCGAGCGGGAAGGAGGAAAACACAATAATATTTCACAGAGGCGCCGTGAACTCTGGGGAAACATCTCATGGCCCCCGCCATGATATCCCCCCTCCTCGTAATCCCCCCCCCTTGGCCGCCCCCGAGTACACCTGCACCGATCCTGGCCAGGCCCGTCCCGGGCCAAGGGGCGGTGTGTTGCGCCCTCTCTGCCTCGGCCCGGGAGGCGTCCGCACCGATGCCAGCCGGGCCCGGGGGGGCACGGCCAGGAGCGGCGACTGAGCAGACGGTCCCCGTGCTGGCACGAGCAGCGACGAGTGAAGCACGAATGGGCGCCTGCTCTGGCTGCGGCACGCCTCGGCCAAGAAGAGGCCCCCCCCGACCTGGGTGCAAGAGGCACGGCCCGACAACCCGCGCCCCTGCCGAACCCGAAGTGGCCCCCTACTTCGGCGTCTCGTCTGCACCCCTCTTCGCCCGATCGCTGTGGAGCCCATTGAGGACGTACGCGCCTAACCGCGCACATGAATAGTGACGGGCCCCCAGTCCGCGACACTGGCCTCGTGCTACGAACGTTCGTGCAGCGCGTCCTCTCGAAAACAGCGTGGACTCATGCGCGGGTACGTCCTTCTTCCGCTCCTGAACCACGGCGCCCGAAATCTGAGGGCTCGTTCGGCCGGCGCCCGCAGAGGCGGCCGCCGCGGCCGCGCCCACCTGCGAAGCACGCCGCGGGCTGCCGAGGCGGCCCGGAGCCACAGGCCGCCCGCGGACGCGGCTCGAGCCGCCCGAGGCCGCCGAGCTCGCGGCGGGCCGGCGCCAACCGAGGCGGCCGCGGCCGCCGCGGGGAGCTCGGTCGGCCCGTCGGGGGCAGCGTGGGAGCCAAGCGCAGGCGCGCAAGCCGCTGCTGCCGCATGCCACTCAGTGGTCGGGGGACCCCAGTGGGCCCGCACCCGAGGCCACTCCGACCAGCCATAACTGGGGGAGCTGTGGTCCTTACCCCCCTGGGGGAACCTATCGCATCGACGATCTCTCGAGAGGGGTGTCGAAATCGATGGGTCCTCCAGATGGGTAAGGACCACAGCTCCCCAAGTTGTGGCTGGCCTGCCACTCTTGCTCGTAGCCCATCCCCCTGCCCCCCCACCCCGCGGGGGGCTGACCACGCCGAAGAGGCGCATGGCGGTGTGCGCGGAGCCCTCGGAGCACCTGCCGCACCCGTCGCCATCTGTGGGGCGAGAATGATGTCCGTCGTCCTCGTCCTCGTCCTCGTCCTCGTCGTCGTCGGCGTCGGCGTCGTCGTCGGCGTCGTCGTCGGCGTCGTCGTCGTCGTGGTCGTCGTCGGTCGTCGTCGGCGTCGGCGTCGTCGTCGGCGTCGTCGTCGGCGTCGTCGTCGTCGTGGTCGTCGTCGCTGTTCCGTGCTGCCCCCGCCGCCCTCGGTGAGGTGGTTGGCTCAGGATACGTTCTGGGAATTCCCCGGACTTTCTGGCGGCTAGCGGCCCTCGGCCGATCGGCGGCCCTCATCCCGTCGTACTCGGCCTTTCGTCCCCGACCGCGCGGGACAAGAAGAAAACCTGGGAACCTTGGAACGCCTCGTTCTCACGACTTCTGTTGCCATAACATCAAGGAGGCTCGAGGGGGAAACTGATCATGGACCCCGAGGGCCTTCTCCAAGGACGATTTGCTCATCCCGAGTCGCTTTTCTGACGGTCCGGGAACCGCAGAGTGCCCTGGAGCCCCAAGTTAACCTCCTCCTCCGCTCACGGCTGCTCCCTCCTTCTGCCCTCCCGCTGTCCTCCTCGCCCTCCTCGCCCCCCTCCCCCATCCTCCTGTTCCCTCCACCTCCTCTCGCTGCCCTCATCATGGCCATCCTCGTCCTCGTCGTCATTGTCGTCTTCCTCTTCGTCCTCGTTGCTCATCGTCGTCGCTATCCTCCCCCACCTCGTCCACCGTCTCCTTCTCCTCCTCCTCCTCCTCCGCCTCCACCTCTCCTCCTCCTCCTCCTCCTCCTCCTCCTCCTCCTCCTCCTCCTCCTCCTCCTCCTCCTCCTCCTCCTCCTCCTCCTCCTCCTCCTCCTCCTCCTCCTCCTCCTCCTCCGTTTAGTGCTCCTCCCCCTACTGCACCTTCGCCCCCTGCGTCGTGCCCCACGAGGTGCGGGGCCCCGTCTCCCCACCCCCCTTTGGAGCCATGGCTGGAGGTCTACGCCCTCCGGGTCGAAGTCCACCAGGGCGCGGATCTTCCCACGGCGCTTCCTGCCCTTCCCTTTTCGTCTCCTCCTCACGAAGCCGGCGCCCAGACCCCCGTGCCACCTGGTGAAGGGGAGGGCTGGGGCGGCAGAGGCCGAGAGAGAGAGAAGGGGATGCTCGGGATGCTGCCACACATGTTCAAACTGACGCTCGTCTTGGCTCCGAGGCTCGGAGAATGGACTCGAACGCTAATGTGATGTCAACGCGTGGACCACACACGATGTCCACTATTCGTGAATAAAATATACACATATGTATGACTATATGTATGCACATGTTTTGGAGAAGCAGGAGGTGGGAGCGGACAGCGACAATATACACAACTCGCCTGGGCGAAAGATCCGATAACTATCATGCTCGCGCCGGCTGGAGCGGACAAACCCTGCCCCCTAGACAGGCGGACGCAACCAAAAGGAGCTGCCTGTGACAATTAATGCCCGGGCGAGCGACCGAGGCAGAGAAGGAAAGAGGGCAGGAGCAAGGCAAATCAATGGGGCGGAAATTCGGGCAATTATGATGGTACGAATTCACCCACGAATCGTGTCAGCGCTGCGCCGGGCCGGGAGCGACGAGATGCGAACGGAGGAAGAGAAGGAGAGGAGCGAGGGAGAAGGAAGGGGAGAGAAAATCCGCCGACCCCGTCGGCGTGTGTGAGGGGCTTCTCCGTTCGACTCGTCGTCTCCGTCGTCTCCGTTCTCCCCCTCCCACGGCTCTCCTCCTCAAGCGTGCTATCCAAAGCGAAATTAAACGACGTCGTAGTGGAGTCGAAAGGAAGCCCCTTCCCTTTGATCCTTTCCCCGCAGGGGGGGGAGGAGGGGGGGGGGGGCCGGGGCAGATACGACACCCGCCGGGGCGCACTTTCCTCGAGCGGGCACGCACGGGATGCACTTCCTCCTCCTGGTCCTCCTCCTCCTCCTCCTTTTCCTCCTCCTCCTCCTCCTCCTCTCCTCCTCCTCCTCATGCTCCTCTCCTCCTCCCTCCTCCTCCTCCTCCTCCTCCTCCTCCTCCTCCTCCTCCTTCCCCTTTCAAAGTCAAAATACCACCCCCTAGGGCGCATTTTCCTCGAGCGGGCACGCCCGAGATGCACTTCTTCCTCTTCCGGGAGCACGTCCCAAGTCAGAATATCACACTCCCGGGGCGCACTTTCTTCGAGCGGGCACACAAAGGATGCACTTCCTCCTCCTCCTCCTCCTCCTCCTCCTCTTCCTCCTCCTCCTCCTCCTCCTCCTCCTCCTCCTCCTGCTCCTCCTCCTTCTCCTCCTCCTCCTCCTCATTCTCCGCTTCCCCCCCCCACTCCTAGCCCTTTCGATCAGGGTCGGCGGCACCGGCCGTCAGGCCTCTCCAATATATCCACAACGCAACTCGCGCGTGCGTGAATCGTTCAGGACAAAATGGCCCTCGCACAGAGATCCTCGCGAGCGCAACTAAGGGGAAGATGGGGGAAGGAGGAAGGATGAGACACGAGGCGCACCGAATGGGGCAGAGCGCGCGGCCCGAACTCGAGCAATAGCCCTGGCCTTGGGGACGCGCCGTGGACGACCACGAACGGCCGGAAAAGCACCGCGCTGATGGCGGGCGAGGCGCGAAGCCAAGAAAACAATGCAAGTTCTGACTGGCGGGACCACTGAGGGACAAGAGGGAAACACTGGCCATCGCTCGGACGTCCATTTCCTGTGTTTTTTTCAGTTTCGTGCGTGGTTGTTTCGCGAAATGATCAAGGATGCTCCTCGATGGTCCTCGCCGAAGGAAAAATGCACACGTCCGAGCGATGCCAAGAACAAAATGCGATTGCCTATTTCTCACTCGCACTGCCAGCGGCGAGCCGTGCGGAGTGGCGACTCCGAGGCAGGGTGCCCGCGCGCGCCCTCCCGCAGCATGGCAGGAAAAGCCCCCGCGGCCTCGACCACGCGCAGCGTCCCTGTGCGGACCCGGCCTGCACGCGGTACACAGCATACGCGGTGAGTACTCGCAACAGCCTGGCCCGCTCACGCGCGCCCGCACCGCCAGGCCTGCTTAGGGTCGAGGGCTCGAGGCTCAGAAGCACGCCAGTTCGGCAGCTGGGGCGGCCAGCCCGGCATGGACAGTGCAGAAGCGATCGTACGTCGCTCAGCGGCCACTGTGCTCGATCATTCTTGAACATATGTATATATACGCCTAAATTAAACATGTAGACTCATAAAACTCGATTTACATGCATACATGCATACATACATACACATGCATGCATGCGTGCATGCATGGATGGATACGTGCACTTATACATACATCCATACAAGCCAACATTCACACAGACATACATACATGCATACATACGTGTACACATTGGGGTTGTCCGAGGCCTGGGGCGCTGGATCTCTGGGGGCGCTCTCCTCTGCGACGGCATGTCGTCTGAGGCTCCGCCGCGCCGCGGCTGTAGAGATGCGGGCGGAGGCGCTCCAGGGGCAGCTCGCGGCAGGCCAGGGGCAAAAGCTGCGGCGGCAACGAGATCGACCCCCCCCACAGCGGCTGGTTGGGGGGCGCGGCGGTCTTGAGGGCCGCCAGCAGGGGAACGAGCGAGGGCCCCCGATCGAAGAGGATGCTCTCGTCGTTCACGCCCGTCTTCCCGGGCCCTCGTGCAGGATCAGGCCGTAGAACTGGCAAGGCGCCCCCGCGGCGACGGCGGGCGGCGGCGGGTGGCGCGCGCGCAGCTTCGCCGCCTGGCCTTGCCTGAAGTAGCGGGCGAACATGACGAAGATGCAGATGGCGAGCGGGCGGCGCCCGTCGCGAAGCAGAATGCCCGCGATGGCGAACGCGGCGCGCCTCGGCAGCGGGAGGCGCGCGCGGCTCGGAGCCCTCCGGGCCCATGCCGCCGCCGCGCGATGGGCCCTCGGCAGCAGCGTCGCGGCCCGCTTGCGATGCGAGCCCGAGAAGTGGGCGACCTCCGCCAGGAACGCGCCCACGAGGTTCCCGCCGCCGCCGAAGAGAGACTCGCTGTCCATGCACTCTACGAGTGTCGAGTCGAGGCTGGCGTGGTCCGTCCAGTCCAGGTGGTGTCGCGCACGGAAGCTCACGAAGGCCTGCGGCGCCCCGCGGTAGAGCTCCGTCGATGGCCGCGCCGCGAGCCGCTCCAGCACAGGGGGCCCCAGGACAGGTGGTCCCGCAGCTGCGAGCTCCTGGGCGCGGCGGGCTCTCGCACCCTTCAACGCCGTCGCGGCGGGCGCCGCCCGCCTCCTCGAGGCCGCAGCGGCCTGGAAGAGGAGCCCCAGCAGCCAGAGTCGCCGCGCGGCCAAGCAGCGCCTCGCCGAACGGCGCAGGCGCCGGGCGGGGGCCAGAGAACCATCCTGCCCGCCCGCGGCTGTGGCCGTCGGCTGGGCTGGCCTCCGATGGGATCCACCTGACTGATAGGGCCGAACCAGTGGCGACGGAGCGCGCGCAGATCCTGCGAAGGGGGCTCTGGAGGTGCTTGCTGCGAGCCCGACCCTTCCCGACGGCTAACACCGAGGGCATGTTGCCCGTGAAAAGGAGGGAAAGGGAACCGAATGCCGAAGTAGATCCCAACAGGTGACGATACCCGAGAACGAGTGCATCCCCCTTCAGGGCCAGGACGTTGGCCCGTCGATGCGCGCGGCCGCGACGGGGCCCCAGGCCCCCCGCCAGCGAAGTGCGCCGGGGCCGCCTCGAAGTCGACGGGCGGCCGAAGGTTGAGCAGCGAGGGGACCTTCGAGCCGAGCCCCTCATCTTCCTCGGTGCCGACATTCCCGAATATCGAATAGTCGAAGCCCAAGGCGTCGTCCAAGCCGGCGGTGGCGACGTGAGCCTGCCCGATCACTCCGACTGCCCGAGCTCTGGCTTGGGCGCCCCCTTCGATCTTATACCTCCATTTTCCGACAACTCGGCCAGTGACGCCCACGAAGTCCTTTGGGGCGCGGCGAGCAACGACGTCCAAGCCCCTGGGGGGGCCGTCTGCACAAGCAGCGCGCTCGCGCCACGGGTCGCGCGGGTCGGCCGCGCGCAGGGGCAGCAGGTCGTGGATTATCTGAAGCTCTCTCCGCGCAGCCGGCCAGAGGGGCACGGCCGCGGGCCTGGCGGCCTGGGCGAAGGCGTGAGCGGCCCCCAGCGCGCGCGACATCTCGCGCCGAAGCAGGACGGCCCGGGCGACGTGGCCGACGAGCGCCCGCGCGAGGAAGCCGCTGACCCGCCGACGGCGCAGGGCGCCGCGGATGGCAGCGCGGAGACGCCAGATGTCACGCGTCTGGAGGCTGGGCCAGCGCCATTCGCGCAGCGATAGCCCCTGGAAGTCGCAATCTCGAGCGGGCTCCTGCACCTCATGGACAGCGAGCCCGCGCTGCTGCAAGTCGCCCGCGATGGCCCGCGGCCGCCGGTGCACCCTGGGCGGGGGCCGCCGAGGACGTAGTTGTCCACGTAGCCGGCGCCCGCAAGCGAGTCGGGGTCGCTGGAGATCTGACGGCCGCCGTGGCCGTCGGCGATCAAGTTCTCCGCGGGGAGCTCCGATCGGAGCAGAGGAGGTTGCCCGCGCGGTCTGGCGCAGGTGCGGGGCCCAGCCGGGGCCCATCGGGAGCGCGACCACCCGCGGCAGCAGCAGCTAATCGCAGGGCGCGCCCGCCCCCACGCAGCCGAGGGGCACCGGGCACTTCGCCCCGATCGGGCGCAGGGCGAAGAACTCCTCCATCCCCAGCGGCGCCGCCGCGCGGTAGATGGCGACGTCCAAGTCGGCCGGAGCAACGCTGAAGCGGACGTCGCCAGCCTCGAGGCGGCCCCGGGCTGACGCCGACGGCAGCTGGGCCCGGGGGGGTCGGCGAACGAGCAGTTGGCGGCGCGGGCGTCGAAGATTATTCTCAGCTTGCCAAACTTCTTCGGCGCCAGAAAATCCCCCCGTTGCTGCGGCGCCCCTTGTCGGGAGAGAAGACGAGCACGCGGTGCTCGACCATGGCGCCCAAGAACTTAGCATGCTCAACAGATGATCGGACGAGAGCAGGGCCCGCGCAGGGCCCGCGCGGACAGACCTCAGCCTGCAGCTGGCGAGCCCCCATCCACGTCTCGAAGCACATCGCGCCTCCACTCCCGCGGCGCGGCGGCGCCCTGCTCGCCCAGCAACCCAAGGGGCGGCGCCGGAGGCCTGGGCGCATCGGGCCAAGAGACGAGGTCTGGCGCGCAGAGGGCGGCGAGCCCGCTGCCGTCAGGGCGCAGCGCGGACCCCGCAAGGAGCCCCCGAAAGGCGCCGCCGGGGTCGGACACGCACGCCGTCGCGGCACTCGCCCGGCTCGTGGCCGAGGGAGCCAACCGCGCCCCAGGTGTAGCTGACGGCGCCGCGCTGCCCAGGAGTCGTCGGAACGGCCAACTCGGGCGAGGGCAAATCGCCGCGCAGACAATTCAAGACTTGCACGGCAGCGTTGGCTTGGCCGAGCGCGCGCTCGAGGGCGCGGCCTGCCCGCCTGCGCCGCCGGGCAATGGGGCGACCAGCCATCGAAGGTTTCGGCGGCTGTCCGCCAGATGGCTGGTTGGGCTCGCGGCGCGGGCAGCGCAGTTGGCGCCCGCAGTAGCCCGGCGGGGCGAGGGCGGCGGCTGGCCAGGCCGACCGCCCGAGGGCGACTTGCTCGCCATCGCCGCCCGCGGCGCCAGGGCCCCCGCCCTGCCGGCCGCCGCGGCCTCTGCGCCCCCACCCGCGCCCGCCGTCCGGCAGCCTGCCGGCGAGGGCGCGCTCCTCTCGCGCCTTCTCCCGCCCCTTCGCGGCCGCCATCTTCTCCAGCAGCTCCTCGGCGAGGTAGTCGCGGAGCGCTGGGCAGACGCCGACCGAGCCAGCGAGCAGCGACTTGACCATCCTGGTGGCCCTGTCGGCGACGGCGGAGTCGTCGGGCTCGAGCATCAAGCTGCACCTCTCCTCCTGCGCCTCGATCGACTGCGCCGCGAGCTCCAGATGCGCGAGGCTCGCGGCGTGCACCTGGTCGTAGGCGAGGGTAGTCTCGAGGGCGAGGTTTGAGGCCTGGCGAATCTCGACGCCCGACTCGCTGGGGTCGAGACCCGTCTCCGCCAGCCACCTCCGGTGATGCGCCGTCGGCGCGCCGCTCCGCTGGGCCGCGAACTCGGCGACCCAGCGCAGAGTGCGCGGCCCCCGCGCAGGCCAGTCTGGCCAGGGCAGCTCCGCCAGCTGGGCGACGACCGCGCGGAACCCCACGTGGCGGATCCCGCGCACACCCACCACCGCGCCGGAGACCCGGGAGTCCCGGCCAGGCCCCAGCCACGGGGGGCGCGGCAGGGGCGTCGACCCGCCGCCAGCGCCGCTTTGGAGTCCCGAAACGGTGCGGTGACACACCGCGCGGCGACCTTGGGACCCCAGGAGACCTACCTCACCGCACGGTCCGTTACCGCACGGTCTTGGGACCTCGGATGCCCCAGTCGCTCGATGCATCCTCGGAGAGGGACTCGAGTCCCAAAACCGCGCGGTGACCCTGAATCCCCACCGACTCACCGCACGGTGTGGTCACCGCGCCGTTTGGGGGCCCCCTGGCCGCGACCGCGGCAGCGGGTGCATCCGGGACACCCGGGGCGCCCAGGGGGGCCGCTGCGGCGCCTGGCACCGCCGCGGGAAGGCCCGCGCCGATACCCGGGGCGACGGGCGCGGCCGCAGGCACCAGGGCCGCGGACGGAGGCGCCGCCGCGGCAGGTCCGCCAGGAGCACCTCCGAGGGCAGCCACCAGCTCTGCAAGACCGCCGCCAGGGCCACCAGCAGCATGAGCAGGGGCGACAGCAGCCGCCGCGGGGGCTGCGCCCACTGGGACGCCAGCCCCGGCACGGCCCGCGAGGTTGACCACGATGGGCCCGATGGGCACTGCACCTGCCCTCGCGTGGGCGGCAGCACGGGCCGCGTCCACCGCGGCAGGCAGCGGGAGGTGCTGGAAGTCGTAAACCTCGTCGAACGCCATCACAGCGGCTGGGGCCCCGATCGTGCCATGCGGCAGCATCGTCCACCCCGCGATGTTCGTGACGTCGTCGAAGATCTCATCGTCGCGGTCGGGAGTGAGGACCCCGGCGACAAAGACGCCCCTCAGCACCAGTGCCGTCACCAGCCTGCGGTGCCAGAGCCGACGCCCACGCACTCGATAGCGGACGGCGATATAACCGCCCTCGACGAGCCCTGCCGTCTCGAGCTAGTGGTGCGCCATGGCGTCAGCCGCGGAGTGAGGCGGACCGGCGAGCTGCGACCTCCGCCAGCTGCGCCAGCCCCTCCTCCGACAGGTCCTTCAGGACGGGAACGGGGCCCGACGGCGCAGGCGAGGCCGAGGGGGCCAGGCGCCAGCCACCGCTGCACGCACAGCACCGCGGCGCCGCCTACGGCTGCACCGAGCACGAGCAGGACAAGGCAAGCCCCCGGCGCGGGCCATGACCCGCTCGCCCCCAGCTCCCGCGGCACGGCGCCCTTGGCGCAGGAGAACACGGGCGCGCAATGGCAGGCGCAGTCTGGATAGGGGACCAGTGAGAAGCGAACGGCGAGAGCGGTCGAGAAACCCCTGCTGAGCTCGGTGAGCAGGGGATCCATGGGAGCCTGGATTCCCGAAAAACTTTGAGCACAATAGCGTCGGATGGCAAGCGCTCTGACAGAGACGGGCTGACATCCGAGTGCGTCCGTATCCCCGACGATGCTAACCATCAAATAGTAGAAACAAAAAAAACATATATCCGCCGGCCCCCTCCGGGGGCGCAAGGCTGCGAAGGTGTGAGCGGTCTGCTGTCAAGTGGTATGCGTTGTCATTTGTTGTTTGGTCTTTTGTCTCTCCAGTCCTGTTTCCTGCCTCCCGTTTACTGTCTGCTAGGGGGCCCCGCCGCGCCCCGAAGAGAGCCTCAGGAGGCCAAAATGGCCAAAGATGGCCCCAAGATGTCCCACGATTGCCTCAAGACGGACCTAGATGCTCCCAAGACGGCCCAAGAGGCCTCGAAGAGGCCTCCCAAGAGGGCCCCACGAAGTAGAAATCAACGATGTTCCTAACGTTTTTGAAGGTTGTTGGCCTTCTCGTCTTTTCGGCTTTCGGACGCTCCGAGACGGATCAAGAGGTTCCCAAAATCGCCCCACGACGGCCCTAGAAGCCTCCATGACGGCCCAAGAGGCCCCCATGACAGCCCAAGACGGCCGAAGAGGGCCCCAAGACGGTCCAAGAGGCACCGCAGACGGCCCAAAAGAGCCCTAAGACGATCCCCAAAGAGGCCCAAGAGGGAGTCCACTAACTAACAACTGGACCTTTCCGCCCCGAGAGGACTTGAGGAGGCCCCAAGAAGGTCCCAAGAAGCCCAAGAGGCCCCAAGGAGACCCCCAAGAGGCCCCAAGGAGACCCCCCAAAGGCCCCCAAGAGGCCCCAAGAAGACCCACAAGAGGCCCCAAGGAGACCACCGCGCAGCCGCCCGCATTAGTAATAGGGGGGGCAGGCGGCAGAGGGCGAAGCCCTTGTGTGTGTATATATATATATATATATATATATATATATATATATATATATATATACATATGATACATATATGCGTATGTATATGTCTGTAAATATATATACACAGATACATATATACACAACTTTATACAAATACGTACATATGCACGGATGTCGGCCCCGCTTCGGTCTGGGCCACTGTCGCTTCGCTGGCCGTCTTGCCCAAACAGGAGCAGCCGCTGCTTTCTCCTCAATGCTGCCCCCTCTGCGGGCTCTCGGCCATCCCCCTGCTGGCGCTGCCCGTGTCCGCCACCACTCTGCGCCTCTGCTGCTGTCTCCGCCCCCCCCCTTCGCCGAGCGAGGGAGCACTTTCAAGTGAGACTGGCAGCGGATGCGATGCTCTCTGGGGTCCCGACGCGTCTTTATCGCAACCAGCGCTCCTGGTGTAGTAGAATCTCTTGAGCTGCACGATCAAGACCTGAAAGATGAACATATTTTCGGAGATGTCGCGCTCTTCGGCTGGTCCGGATGCAAAGCTCCTGATCAGCCCATGGCACGGGCAATTCATCTTAGAACAGAATTGCAGCGGGGGCAATCTTGCGTGTTTTCACTGGAAGTGGGGCCCATGAGGCGTACACTAACACGTCTCTACGGAAGCCTACTCGGAAGGCAACTTGGTGGTATGGGCTGTGCATCACTAGGCAACCACATGTAAACCTTACCTCTGCAGGTGAGACTCCTGGCACGTCGGCGGGGGGGGCAGAACGCGCAGAATGTCTGCGGCCACATTCGCCACCGTGCCGAGTGCACATTGAGGTGTGGAAGCATGCCATGGGATACCTGGTAGGGATTTGCATTCTAGTGAGGGGCAGCCGCCCCTACCAGCGTATAGTTGCATGCGTCGCCCCATCCTGGCGGGGAACCCACCCATACGCGGTTGTGAGTAGCGCGATTGTGAATATCCCCTTCGGTGGAGCCCGTTCGGGGGCCACGACATTTGTGAATTGTGCAGAATATGGGTGCGGTACCGCCTTGCAAACGCACCCACTGGGCCCTTCGGCGGATCCACCTATGGGGCACGAAACGTGTGAGGGGTGCGCCGACATTGGTGCGGTGCCGCCGACTGCGTGTGCCAAACGCTGCGCGGTGCAGCAATGCAAACGCAGCCACTGGGACCTCCGAGAGGTGTGCCGAAAAAGGTAGACCGTCACCATGCGAAAGCAGCCACTGAGGCCTTCGGTAGAACACCCCATTGGGCAACGAAACGTGTGAGGTGTGAGGTGTGAGGTGTGAGGTGTGAGGTGTGAGGTGTGAGGTGTGAGGTGTGAGGTGTGTGCGCGTGTGTGTGTGTGTGTGTGTGTGTGTGTGTGTGTGTGTGTGTGTGTGTGTGTGTGTGTGTGTGTGTGTGTGTGTGTGTGTGTGTGTGTGTGTGTGTGTGCGCGCGTGCGTGCGTGCGTGCGTGCGTGCGTGCGTGCGTGCGTGCGTGTGTGCGTGCGCCAAAAGCTGCGCGGTGCCGCCATGCGAACGCAGCCATTGGGGCCTTCGAGGGGTGCCGAAATGGGCGGAGTGTCGCCATGCGAACGCAGCCACTGAAGCCTTCGGTGGGACTCCCGGTCGGGCCCCGAAACGTGTGAGGTGTGAGCGAAAAGCTGCGCGGTGCAGCCACGCGAACGCAGCCACTGGGACCGTCGAGGGGTGTGCCGCAGTGGGTGGAGTGTCGCCATGCGAACGCAGCCACTGTGTGACTGGTCTCCCAATTTTCCCGTTTCAGGTTTAGCCCCAGGACAACCCCGGACAGGGACCCCGGGAGTTTGTCATTTAGAGTTCTGACCCTGAGGTGACTCTCCGTTGTGTGTTGGCTCAAGGGAAAAGGCGCCCACTTCTTCTGCTGCTGCCACAGTTGGTAGCGGAGCGGGGTCAGCCGGAGCGGCCATGGGTGCGGGCGGCGCGGCTCAGCAGCTGTGATCCCTGCGCTCGCGCGCCCTCCGGCGGCCCCGCTCTACTGCGAGCGGGCGGTGCGGATCCACGGCACCATGCCTGCCGAGGCAGGCGAAGAGGAGAGAGAGACGGCACCAGGAGGCACCGGCGAGCCCGCTGCCAGCGCAGCGACGGCGGCGACGGCCGGAGCAGACGGTGCCACGACGATAGCAGGATTGACATCAGCGGCACTTCGGGAGCTTGTGGCAGGCATAGTGAAAGACGCTATGCAGCCTGGGGTGACTCCCGTGCCGCAGGCGACAGCAGATCCATGGTCGGAGACGGGCGCCGACCCATGGGCAAAGAAGACCACAGACGACGGCAAAGCATGGCAGCAAGGCTGGCAGGACGGCTGGGACAGCTGGCAGAGCGGCTCGTGGGACCGCCAGGGCTGGTGGTCCGGCGCGGGTGCCGCGGGCGGCAGCTGGGGAGGTCGCGGAGACTACAGCGACCCACCGTCCTGGCCAGGCTGGTCATTCTATAGAAAATGGAAGCGTGCGATGCAACGATGGGATAAGAACACGGACTTGCAGCTGTGGCGACGATCGGAGAAAGTATTGAAGTTGTTCTCATGGGAGTTTCAATCTCAGTTCGAAGACATCTCCGAGCATCAGTGGACCTCGGACGACTGGTTGAAGACTCTCTTGGACAGGATGGACATGATTTCCGGACAGCGCGAAGGAGATGACCTTCGCAGGGCAGGACGCAAGGCGTTCTACGAGGCGAATCGAGCATCAAAAGAGAGCCTCACCCAGTTTGTCTCACGACGAGAAGCTCAGATGTTGGAGGCCGAAGGTCACGATTTGTGGATGTCTGAGAAGTTGAAGGGCTTGCTCCTCGAGGAAGGAGCTGGCCTCACGCCACAGGGGCTCCAGAATCTACGGACACTTACCCGGGGCCAGCTGGAGCATAAAAACGTGGCGTGGGCTCTGAGACAGATGGACGGGAGGCACCGAGCGCATTTTGCCCGGGCGTGCAGGCCCCGGGGCTATGCTAGCATCACTTCTGAGGACATCGGCCCGGGCGCTCGAGGCTCCAGTGACGCTTTTCAGTCTTCTCACTCCTCCCTCCCTCAACCTCCTGGTACTGGTAGGTCCGAGGTCGGTGCTGAAGAAGAGGCAGAACAGGACTACTACGATGACGAAGACGGCAGCACGGACGAGGAGGCTGACGAGGCACTGATCGCAGAGATTGAGGATCTCGATTTGAACGAGGATGAGGTGTCCGAAGTGCTGGCTGCCATCGAGGACCGGCCCAACACTAGGACGTGGAAGCAGAACAAGGACCTCAGGAGAGCGGCGAAGAAGGACCGCGAGTACTTTGGCCTACGGCGGGACGCTGGTGGTGGAACGGCAGCCCGAGGCCGCGGAGGCAAGCTCGGCGGGAAGGCCGGCGGAAAAGGCAAGGGACGCCGTGCCCGCCTGAGCAAAGAGCAGTTGATGAAGATCTCGCGCTGCCGCATCTGCAACGAGAAGGGGCACTGGGGAAACGAGTGCCCGAATAAGGACCGAGCACCTCGAGACCGACAGAAGCTCTCAGCATACATGTTCGACGGTTGTGCCGACACGAGTTTCGTGTCGCAGGCTACCCTCGCCTCCTGGGAGAACGACGAGGCTGAGCTGGAGGCCTGGTCCTCCTACCTGACCGCGCGTCCTCACCAGGCGCTCGTCGACCCCGGAGCGGGCAGCGACCTAGTGGGCGTGCAGACGCTCAATCGAGAGTCACAGGCGCTGGCGGACGTGGGGATGCGCTACGTGATCATCCCAGAGGAGATGAGGCCGACCAAGGCGGCCCACGGAGTCGGGGGGCCCGCGAAGGTGATCAACGTGGTGCTCTACCCCCTGCTGCTAGGAGGCGTATTCGGGATCATTGAGACCACGGTCCTACGCGACCGGGTGCCCCACATACTTAGTGTCAACCTCTTGGAATTTCTAGGGAGTGTTATTGACCTCCCTCGCAACGTGCTAACCGCCGAGACGATCGGCGCCAAGGTCGACATGATCAGGCTCAGCTCAGGGCACCGAATGGTAGATATCATCATTCCCCTGTCGGAGCTGCCGGAGGTTCCGGAGTCGGCTCTCCGACGATAGCCTTTTCTGTCACCAGGCTCGTTTCGCCTGGTGGGCTCCGCTCCCGAGATGCTGGACTCAGGAGCACTGGCAAGCTACATCATCCTCATCTTCCTCATCATCACTATCATGTTCGGCATCTTCGGTATACCCCGGGCATTCGCCATGCTGGGTCTCGAGAGGTTCAACAAGGGGTTCCAGCTACTGTACCCGAAGTATCCGAACGACCTCGAGGGCTTTCAGGTACCGGATCAAGACCACTCTTTCGTCTCAGAGGACCTCGACGGGATCCTTAAGAAGAACCCCTCGAGCTTCAGGGAACCCAAGCTGATCACCAGAGGGCCCAAGGAGGTCACGACAGAGGAGGCCGAGGAGATTAGAAAAGAGGTGGAGTCACGGGCTCAGCGTCCTAGGTCAGATGCTAAGGTGAAACGAGCACTCCGACCCCTACCAAGTAGATGGCCAACGCTAACAAGGGTCCTGCTGTTCCGTAGCCATCTAGGCTCAATCCAGTTAGGAGGCTCTCGAGTTTTCAGAATTCCCAGTTCATTCGACGCACGCAGCACCGATGTGGCCCCGCATGCTCTGGGCCGTCCTGTGCATGGCATTGTGGCGAGGCGGATCCGGAGTCCGCCGGGCACCAGGAGCGAAGGCAGCGACCGAGGAGCTGCTGGGCCGAGGCGGCGGTGGTGCTGCCGAACCCCAGTCCGAGGCCGAGAGCAGCATCAGCGCAGAGACGCAGATCGAGAGTTTGCCGACGACATCGGGTCCGCCCGTGGCTCTCCAGCCGATCGAGCCCGTGCATCTCGACCACGGGGAGCAGCACTCGGCGGAAGCAACCCCAAGCCGAAGCAACAGCCAGGCGACCCATGCAGCAGCGGGGAACCACACGGCGCCAGGCCCCAGAGAGATCTCTCTCGGCACCGGACAGCCACCCCCACTGCCGCACGCGCCACCACCGGGTTGGGTCGGTCAGTACCCACTACCTGGAGTGCCGACGGCAGCAGCGCCGGCTGCGGCGGCAACGACGGCGCCGGCACAGTGGCCCCCGCCAGGAACACATGCGGGCATGACCACAGCACCCCAGATGATGGAGGAGCAGGCTCAAGCGCCGCGCCAGTCCTCGGGACCAATCCCGTCGGGAGCAGTGCCGAGCAAGCCCCCGCCGAAGCCCAGGCCATCAGCAGCGGCGGCGGCAGCCCCAGCCAGCGCCACCGATTGCTCCCACCCAGAGAGCCACATCAGGTTCTACGGCAACCAGCATGGCTCCGGTTCTCGGTGTACTGCGTGTGGGCAGCGGTTGGTCTGGGTGCCGCGCAACAAGGCAGCACCTGGCGGGACCGAGCCGCCGCCATCCGCGGCAGAGGCAGCAAGGTCAGCGGCTCGATCAGCTCAGAGGACGGTGGAGATTCTACAGGAGGATCCGGGTTTCAGGGCAGGAAGCGCAGCGCTGAATACCGTGAACTCTCTCAGCTTACTGCTCCAAGGCCTACAGTACCAACTTCACTCGATGCCCGAGAAT